GAAGATTCAAAAAGGCAGCTCGGAATGACAAAGCAAAATATTACAATGAAATTTGTGAGGAGCTAGAGTTGGAAAATCAAAACCAAACTCGTTCAGCATTTCTTAAGCTCAAGGAACTGAAGAACAAATTCAAACCTCGAGTTGCTACAGTCAAGGATGCTTTAGGCAGAATGATAAATGATCAAGGAGGTATCAAAAGAAGATGGAAGGAATATACTGAGTCACTGTATGGAAAAGAATTGGCAGATACAGAAGAATTTCATGAAATAACATATGAGCAAGAACCTATGGTGATGGAGGAAGAAGTTCAAGCTGCTTTGAGGGAAATAGCAAAATAATAAGGCCCCCGAAATAGATGGTATACCAATTGACATATTTCAGCTAACAGATGCTGCCCTGGATGTGCTCACCAAGCTGTGCCAAGAAATCTGGAGAACAACCACTTGGCCAACTGACTGGAAGAGATCTATATTTGTTCCCATTCCAAAGAAGGGTGACCCAACTGAGTGTGGAAACTACAGAACAATTGCATTGATTTCACATGCAAGCAAGATATTAATGATACTATTCAATAATTTCTACACTCTGTTAGGTCACATTTTTTTTTGGAATGGGAATAAATATGGATCTCTCTAGTCAGCTGACCAGGTAGTTGTCCCCCTGATTTCTGGGCACAACTTTATGCGTACGTCAGGGTAGCATCTCTTTCTTGAAATATGTCAATTGGGATGCCATCAGTTCCTGAGGCTGTTTTTTGAGAGTTCCTTCAGAGTGGCATGAACTTCCACCTTCATCACCATACGCTCTTGATAATATGTTGATTCATGAAATTCTTCTGCGTCAGCCAATTTTCTGTGTGTACTGCTCCTGTCTTCTTTTCTTGCTTCCTGGGTTATTAGATATTATGCCCACAGCATGCTTAAATGTTGCAACTCACCGCTTGAATTTGTTCTTTAGTTCCTTTCACTGTGAAAATTGGCAACATCACGCTATATGCTGAAGAGACTGAGACTGTTAACAGGGTCAGCTTGGTTGGCTCCTCAATCAACATCCTTGATATCAACAGTTAGGAAATCAAAAGAAGAATTGCATTGGGAAAATGTGTTGTCACCGACATCACTAGAGTACTGAGGAGAAATGATGTCAGTCTAGAGATTAAGATGTGCCTGATCCAGTTCATGGTCTTTGCAATTACTTGCTATGGATCAAAGAGCTGGATAATGAATGACTAAGGATGACAGAATAATTGATGCCTTTGAGGTGTGGTGCTGGAAAAGAGTACTGAGGTGCGAAGAGAACAAACAGGTTCATCCTAGAGAGGCCGAAACCAGGCTGCTCCTTGGAGGTAAGAATTTTGAAGCTCTGACATACTTTGTGCATATTTCAAGGAAGACCAGTCCTTGGAGAGGGTGGTCATGCTTGGGAGTTCAGAGAGTCAGTGCAAGAGAGAAAGACCTGGATGAGATGGATTGATTCAGGGACTGGGTAGATAAGGGTAGATGTGTCAGAGACAATAATTATGGCACAGGAGAGAGTAGGTGTCAGGGCTGTTGTACATAGCATTGCTGAGTCACACGGGACTTGATGACACATAACAATGACACCATGTGCACGGATCAACAATAATCCTTATGAGGTAATTTTAAAATTACATTATGTTGAATGGTTAAGAAATTAAAACAAGTAGACCCTTTTCTTTATTGCTTCTCTTAGTACCATTGAGTGAACGCATAATGACCTGAACATCAGGCCAAAACCTTATCCTGCATTATCACAATCTCCACTATGACAAGTCCTATGTCAGGTCTTCTTGTTAAAGGTCTTTCTTATTCTCAATCTCCTCCTTTCCACATATAACATCTTTTTCTGAGATCCACTTCAAAACATACTAAAAGTATATGAGATGAAGACTCATCATTCTTCCTTACAAGGAGCACTCTGGATTCACTTGCTCCAAGAGAGTTTTGTTTGTTTTTATGGGAAATATCCATAGGATACTTGATATGCTTCCCCAATACAACAATTGAAAGACATTATGTCTTTGATCTTTCTTATTGCTCTCTATCTTACACACGCTTATGAAAGAATGGAAAATTCCAGGCCTTGAATCAGGCACACCTTAGTATTAAAACTAACATCCTTATACTTCAGCACTTTCAAAAAGTTGTTTCACTCACTCAGCAAAACTTCTTTTGATTTTGACTACTGTTATTTTGAGTGTTGATTGTCATGATCTTTGGCTACTTACAATCAGCCTAAATCTAAGTAAAGTGCCCACCAACGATGACATAGAAACCATGAAAAGAAGTTAGAAAACATTAGCTATCATTTTATCAAATAAGATGAGAATCATCATTGCTCATAGTGAATGAGAGAATGAATAGAAATATTGCAGTAAGGGAAGGAAAAGGCATTTCAGATATGTTGAATTGTATGTACAGAATTTTGTTGTGGCAAAGAAAGTAAATTGAAGGGAAAAACCTCATTTGGCTGTGACCTAAAATTAATAGAAGAGTTACAGAGTTGGAATATTTTGTCTGTCAGATAATCTTAAATATGGATATTGGCATGGAAAGTTTTATATTTGATTAAGTAGATATGGTGTTCAACACAGGAATAGAAATGCCAATAATTACAAGGAAAATTATCATGAAAAGTGTTTAGAATGATCTGTATGCCAAGAATAGAAGTCAAGACCAAATAGATTGTTTGCTTATTTATACTCCATTTCAATGGGACAGCGGGCAGTCCATCATGTTGAGAACCTTCCTCTTTTTCACTAAGCTTTTACTTGACCAAGTATGATATCTTTCTCAAGTTATGACTCTTTCTGATAATATGCTAAAAGTATGTGAGACAAAATCTCACCATCTTGCTTCCAAGGAAATACTACTTGTTGTTACTGTTTGTTGTTAGGTGACATTGATTTGAGTATGACTCATAACAACCTTATAAACAAAAGATCTGAACTGTGTTCTAGCCTGTGCCATCCTCTCAGTTCCCAACACTTAAGAGTCCATTGCAGCAGTTACCATGTCAATCCACCTGGTCGAGGGTCTTCTTCTGCTTCACCAAACCTCCAGCCTTTACAGTGTCATGTTCCTCTCCAAGGAGTAGCCCCTCCTAAAACATGCCTGAAGTATGTGAGGTGAAGCCTTATCATTCTTTCCTCCAATGAGCACTCTAGGTGCAGCCTCTCCAAGACATCTCTGTTTGTTCTCATGGCCAAACATGGGATTTTCAGAGCTCTTCTCCATCACCTGAACTCAAAGGTGTCAATTCTATTTTTGTCACCCGTCCAGTTCTCAGATGTGTAATAAGTGAGCAGAAAGACTATGGCCTGAATCAGACACTCCTTAGTCCTCACACTGACATCATTACTCCTCAATATCTGCAGATTTTCCCAGTGCAATGCATTTCCTTATTGCCTGACAGCTGGTACCAAGGTGGTTATGTGTGGGTAAAGAAACATGAAGCTTTTGACAGTTTCAATCTCCTTTCTATCCATCATGATGTTCCCTATAAGTCTTATTCCAAGAATGATTTATTTGTTCTTTTGGTAATCCATGAGATATTCAGTACTCTGCAACTTAAAGATATCAAGTTTCTTTGAATTTCTTTATTCATTGTCCAACTTTCACAATAATTTGAGAAGATTGAAAAATATCATAGCTTGAGACTGGCACAAATTAGCCTTCAAAGTGACATCCTTTCTCTTTAACACTTTAAAAAGGTCTTTGAAATCAGATTTACCATGTCAACATATCCCTTGATTTCTTAATTATTGTTTCCATGGACATTAATTGTGAATCAAAGTAAAATTATATCCTTGACAATTTCAATCTCCTATTTATCATGATGTTGTTTGCTGATATACATATGAGGAATTTTTTTACTGACATTCAGATATCATTTGGACAGAAGGCTATAGATTTAAGCTTTACCATTAAGTGCTTCTTGACTAAGTCCTTTTCTGCAAGAAAGGATGTATCATCTGTGTCTCAGAGATTGTTAATGAATCTCTCTCCAATTCTGAAACCACATTGCTCTTCATATAGTTCATATTCTCATATATGTTTACAAGGCATAGCAATAAGTATGAACATGCACATTATATAATCTTGATTGCTGAAAACGAAGATTTGAAACCTTTACTGTGAAACACTCACTGATAAAACCTTTCAGTTTAGACTATAACGTAATATTAATAAAAGCAAAAATCCTATATTTGAAACAATGGATGGTATCATAATGAATGAAGAAAAAGTTGTAGTTGTCAAGGATTTCGCTTTATTTGGACTCACAATCAGTGCACATGGAAGCAGTAGTCAAGAACTCAAAGTACGCATACTTTCTTTTCCCTTTAGGTATTGGGCATGATTTATAACTCATTGGCAAAAATCCTCTGGCTTAACCTACCTAAGATGACAAAAGGAAATTTTACACAAGAAAAGGAAATTAGGTTGGTTTTGTGGTCTAAGCCGTAGCTGGCAATCCAATGGATTTTCAAAAGTAGTAAATCACACATGAGTGCATTACTCTTCTTTCTCTCATAGAACAGCTGGTGGATTTGAACCATGAGTTTTTTATTCAAAGGTGCAAAAGGATGGGAAATGGAATTTTTACACAGGAAAAGGAAAGTAGGTAGGAAATGGTGTTGAAGTCATATTATCTGCAATGTCTACTATACCATAAAGAATTTGTTAAAAAGAAAAGAACTAATTTCTAAGTTTGTTTACCTTTCAAATAGTACATTCTTTTGAATTGATTGCAAATAATTAAACTGGAAAATTCCTATATAAAACTATTGCCTAATATTTCTAGGAAAAGCACAATAACCAGACTGAATTTACTACTGAAAACATGGTAACCACTGTAACTGACCTGTTTGGAGCTGGGACAGAGACAACAAGCACCACCCTGAGATATGGACTCCTACTTCTGCTGAAGCACCCTGAGGTCAGAGGTATGAATACAAATGATAGAGTTCAGAAGGGTGAACTTCAAAAAGAAAGTTGGGATTGAATTGCTAGAATTTTCTACCTTATATTTCTTAAACAAACCTCATTATTTAAATTACTAAGGTACTTCGTATGATGAGTCTGAGTTTGATACAGAGATTTAAAAAAGGACAACTTTGCACAGAAGAGGAAGGGGGGTGAAATGGGAAAGAAAGCATGGGCAGAGCAACATCATAAAGATTCGTGAGGGTGATGAGGTTATGTTGTGGTTAGATGCTGTTTCACTGACTACAGTACATTGTGACCTAATGCAAAGCAAACTGAAACCTCGTCCTACCCCGTGCCATCCTCACACTCTCTACCTTGCTCAAGCTCCCTGTTGTAGTTCACTAGTCAAACACCAAGTTTAGAGTCTTCCTCTCTTTCACTCACTTTCCACCTTTTCAAGCAGTCTGATGTCTTTTCCAGGGACTGGCACATCTTGATTATATGCCCAAAATATATGAGAGGAGTTTCATCATCATTGAATCCAAAAGGCATCGAGGTTGCACTTTCTCCAAAATAATTTTGTGCTTTTGTCAGAATGTGGTATGTTCAATACTCTTAGCAAACAACACAATTCAAAGTGATCAAATCTTCTTCAGTTTCATTATTCATTGTCCTCCAAGGACTAGCCAATCCTAGCTACATACCCAAAGTGTGGGTGATTAAGCTTCAAAATCCTAGCCTCCAAGGAGAAACTTGGTTTCACCCTCTCCAAGTCAGACGTATTTGTTTTCTTGATGGCCCATCATATGTTCAAGGCTCTTCTTTAGCACCACAACTCAAAGGCATCAATTCTTCTTCTGTCCCTAAGATATTGTCCTGCTTTATGATAGATCCATAGCAAGTAATTTAAGGACCATGACCTGGATCAGTCATACCTTAGTCTCTAGACTGATATCACTGCTTTTCAGTACTCTGGAGGTCCCTGACAGCAGATTTTCCCAGTGCAATTTGTCTTTCGATGTTCTGACTAGTGGTGCCAAGAGTGTTGATTGTGAAGCCGAGCAAACTATAATTTTTAACAACCTCAATCTCTTCTCCATCTATTATCATTCTGCCAATTGGTCCAGTGATGTGAATCTTTGTCTAGCATGATGTTGATCTTCAATCCTTATTCAAGACTACAGTCCTTGATCTTCTACAGCAAGCACATCAGGTCCTTCTCAGTTTCAACAAAGTTTGTCATCTGCATACATATGTTGTTGATGAGTTTTCCTCCAATCCTGATACCACATTCCTTGCTCATAACGTCCTGCTTCCCAAATTATCTGTTCTGCATATAGACTGAAAAGGTATGGAGACTAGATGCATCCTTGACACTCCAGTTTCCTGATTTTGAACCATGCAGTGTTTCATTACATTTATTACTCTGTTCTAAGGACTGCTTCCTGGTCAGAGTATAGGTTTCACATAAGCACAAAGAAGTGTTCTGGGAGTCCCGTTCTCCCCAAGGTTAATCACAATTTCTTGTGATTTACACAGTCAAACGCCTTTGCATAGTAAAGGAAACACAGACAATCCTCTGGTATGCTTTGATTTCTGCGAAGACATGTCAGACATTGGAGATAAGGTCTCTAGTACCACAACCTCTCCTAAAACCAACTTGTGTTTATAGTAGTTCTCTTTCAATGTGCTGTTCCAGGTGTTCTTGGACAATCTTCCGTGGGATTTTGCCTGTGTGTGATATTAGTGATGTTGTTGTCGTTGTTGTTCTTATGTGCCGTCAAGTCACTTGCGACTCCTAGCAACCCTATCTACAACAGCCCTAAACTCTACTTTGTCCTGTGCCAATCACACTGTGTCTGACACTCCCATCCCGATTACCCCAGTCACTGAATCAATCCACCTCATAGAGGGACTTCCCTTCCTGTGCCCTACCTGTTCCCTCTACCCTACCAAGCATGATGTTCCTCTCCAAGGACCCTTCTCTCCTTACAACATGTCCAAAGTATGTTGTACAGAGCCTCAGAATCCTAGCCTCCAAGGAACAGCCTGGTTTAACCCTTTCCAGGATGAATCTGTTTGTTTTCTAGCAGTCCATGGTACTCTCAATACTCTTCTCTAGCATCACAGCTCAAAGGCATCAATTCTCCTTCTATCATCCTTAGTGATTGTCCAACTCTTGATGCATAACAAGTGATAGCAAAGACTATAGCCTGTATTAGATGCACCTTACTTTCCAGAGAGACATCATTGATCTTCAGTTCTTTGGAGAGGTTCCTAACAACAGACTTTCCTATGGCAGTACGTCTTTTAATTTCCTGGCTACTGGTGCCAAGAGTGTTGACTGTGGAGTCAAGCAAACTAAAGCTGGGCACAATCTCAATCTCTTCACCATCTATCCTGATGCGGTCAATTGCTCCAGTGGTGAGAATATTTGTCTTCTTGACATTGAGTCTCAGTCCATATTGGAGGCTGCAATCCTTGACCCTCTGCAGCAAACACTTCAGGTCCTCCTCCTTGTTCCATAATTTCCACACTCTGTCAGATCACCTTTTTTGGGAAAGGGAATAAATATGGATCTCTTCCAAACAATGGGACAGGTGCTTGTCCTCCAGAATTCTTGGCACAACCTGGTAAGCACATCAAGGTCAGCATCCATTTGGTTAAATTATGTCAGTTGGTAGTCCAGCAATTCCTGGGGCTTTATTTTTCAGCCAAGACCTTCAGAGCAGCTTGAACTTCTTCCTTCATCTCCATTGTTTCTTGATTGTATGTTGTTTCATGAAATTCTTCTGTGTCAGCCAATTACTTTTGATACAATGATTCTGTATACTCCTTCCGTTGTCTTTTAATGCTTCCTGGGTCATTCATTATCCTGCCCATATAGCATCCTTAATTACTGCAACTCTTGACTTGAATTTGCTCTTTAATTCCTTCTGCTTAAGAAATGCCAAGCAAATTCGGGCCTTTTGAGTTTCAGTCTCCAGTGCCATGCACATTACATTAGAATACTTTGCTTTGTCTTCCTGAGCTGCCCTTTGAAATCTTTTATTCAGCTCTGTAACTTATTGATTTCTTCCCTTTGCTTTGGCTTCTTGGCACTCTTGTGTAATATTCAGAGTCTCTTTTGACATCCATTTTGGTCTTTTCTTCTTTCTCTGCCTTTGTAATGACCTTTTTCTTTTTAATTAGTTTTAATAAACATTTACAGAGATTTTGGTTTTCATTCACTCATTTTTGCACTGTTTTCTCTACTCTCCTCCCGAGTTCATTCTTCTTTTTTCCCCCCTTGAATGTCTGTTTTAATTTTCCAATTGCCACAGTGTTTGTCAAAGCCAGTTCTGATTAATCTCCTTTGTCAGTGTGTCCTTTGCCATTCCCTATCACTCCTCCCTGAGAGGGACTTCACCCTGATTCATAAGGAAAGGGGATGGTGTATTCCCTTAGTTACTTCCTGCTGAAAAGGGACGCTGTAGGTTTCAGGGTGAAGATCTTCTCTCACTACTCTAAAGGGCCCCTTTGGCAGTAGGAAACACATAGACTGTAATGACCTTTTGCATGACACAATTGTTGTTGTTGAAGTCAAGTCAAGCATGACTCATAGCAATTCTATGAACAAAACTGAAGCCTATGAACAAATCCTGAAGCCTTTCTATAACTATCGTTGGTTCAAAAGTTTATATTGTTTCCAGACGCATGTTGTTTAAAAAGTAGATGCCACTCCTGTTTCCAATTTTATGGCACTAGGCCTACGAAATAAGCAATTCAAAATAGACAAGATTTATGAAAATAGAATAAGGGAGGATATCAAGAATACTAGGAAAGTGATATATTATCTCTAGTTTCTCAATAATTCAAAAATTAAAATGCATTACTTTTGAGTCAATACTGATTTCCAAGGCTATAAATCACATGGGAAAGGATTCCTATCTTTCCCTGCTTCATGTAATCTTGTTAAATGACATGAAAAAATTAAAAAATTTCACATTTTCATCAGTTTTTATTTATGACTTGCTAGATAAAGTCCAGAAAGAGATTCACCAAGTGATTGGCAGCCACCGAGAGCCCTGCATGCAAGATAGGGCCAATATGCCTTACACAGATGCTGTGGTGCATGAGATCCAGAGATACATTGACCTCTTCCCTACCAGCGGGATTCATTCAGTGATTCGTGATGTTAAATTCCGAAATTACCTCATTCCCAAGGTATTTTTTTTCTAAACTAGAGCTCAGTATATACATGATATTGTGCCCGTCTTCTGCTAACACAGGCTTAGAGAAATCAAAAGAACTTTAAATTGTGAATGCAGCTTGATTAATTTTCTGTTCTTTCCAATTTGGAACTCTAAAGATTTAGAACAGGTCTTGATATCTAGCAATGTTAAACCTTCCAAATTTGCTATTTTCTTTACTTTGGGGTGACTGCTAAGCTCAGCACAAGGCTAACTAGGTGCTGAAGGAGAACACAATATAGTAATTTTTTAAAGATTGAAGTTAATTTTTGTTTCTTTTCCCTAGCACTTAGAACATTTTGTTAAAAGTATCTTCACCTCACATTCATTCAATAATGCAATCTTAGTAAAAAGAAGAAAAAGTACTACAAACAAAAACTATCACTTTCAACAATTTCTTGAAAAATTAAAACAAAGAACAAGCCCCACGGTCACTCACTTTATTTGTGTCTGTTTATTGCAGGGTACGACCATATTAACTTCACTGACTTCTGTGCTTCACAGCGAAAAAGAATTCCCCAATGCAAAGACATTTGACCCTGGCCACTTTCTGGACAAAAGTGGCAACTTCAGGAAGAGTGATTATTTCATGCCTTTCTCAGCAGGTAAGAGAAAATTACATTTACCTGTAAAATATCTCTAATTCCTACCAAGGAACAGAATATATAATTGAGAGCATTTGAGACTTGCCTACTCTGTATTAGTACAATTTTTCTTTCTACATGATCACAAGCATCACTACAAATGCTTCACAATATCCCATCAATCATATACTTTCATTTTAGGGTCAGAGAAATGGGCTTTTGAGGATGTGTAGAACAGCAAGGACTGCAGGGAGATGGCCATATCTAACATCTACGAACTCCATAATGAGGAACTGTCCCTGTCAACAGCACCCACAATACAAAACTAATTTCTGTGAAGTCAGACATGTTCCTCATATTACCACACCTCTTTCTTCTTTCTAATACCAATATTACTGCTTTACTGAGTCTGAAATCCATAACAATAGCTCACAGAACACACAGAATCATAGTAGGGCAGTCAAAGATTTTATTTCAGATTGGTAGCAGATAGAGTGACTCAGTCAAGACAACTTCCAATGCATTCACAGGCACCTCAGCCTTGTGGCTTCAGGCTCTCAGTCTTGCCATTATGGCTCCCCACCCCCACCCCAATCCTCCGATAAACTTGGGCTCTTAGATCAGGTTCCATGGGGTTGTAGTTCTAAGGTCAGCTCTACCTCATGGCAGGTCTCTGTTTATGTACTGTGGCCACAGCTGTTTCTGTAGTTGTGGGTCTAGCTGGCACAAGAATCTCTAGCCCCAAAGGGCATATTACTTTCTTTTGCTTCTTTTTTGCTAGTGGTGAGATTCTTAAATCCTGTTTCTGGATCAGCTCTATTAAATGGCGAGACTAGCCAATCGCCTCGTGGATAGTCTAACACAATTTTGAACAATAAACCCTTAACATTACAGACCACCCAACCCCTGACTTAGCTACCCATTAACCTTAACAATTGAAGAATCAATTTACTCCTTATAATATGCAATAACTATAATTGTGAAAGTGTGTAAGTCAGAAAAATCCATACGTCATGCATTAATCTCCACATTTTAGATGGTCAATTTCTATTTTGCCCGTTCCTATGACTACAAAAAGAGGAAAATTAAACACCAAATTGCTGTTGGAACAGACTCTGAAAATTTGACTATAACCTCAAGAAGCAAAAACAAAAGGAAGAGAAAGATGTTGAAATAAAAGAGGAGCTGAACAGAACATTTAAAAGCCAGTTCATGAAGATGGAGCAAACACTATAATACAATATGCAGAAACATTGGAAACATTATGATAGATGATGAAGAGATTGAGATTGTTAATAGCTTCAGTTTGCTTGGTTCCACAATCAACACTCTTGGTACTAGAATTCAGGAAATCAAGAGATAAATTGCATTGAGAAAATTGGCTGTTAGAGACCACTCCAGCGTGCAGAAGACCAATAGCATCATTCTACAGACCAATGTGCCCCTCATCCAGGCCTTAGTCTTCACAATTGCTTATTATGAGTCACAGAGCTGGACAATGACTAGGGATAATAGAAAGATAATTGATTCCTTTGAGCTGTGGTGCTGGAGAAAAATGTTAAATATCATGGACTGCCAGGGGAGCAAATAGGTTTGTCCTAGAGACAGTGAAATCAGGCAGCTCCTTGAAGGCAAGGATTATGAGGCTTCCTCTGGCATACTTTGGTCATGTTACAAGGAGGGATCAGTCCTTGGAGAGGGACATTGTGCTGGGAGAGGGTGGAGGGACAGAAAAGGAAAGGAGGGCCATAGATAAGATGGATTGATTCAGTGACTGCGGTAATGAGGGTAAGTATATCAGACACAGTAAAGCTGACACAGGATAGAGCAGACTTCAGGACTATTGTACATAGAGCACTATGAATTGCAAGCGACTCAACAACACATAACAACAACAACATGCACAAACAGAATAGAGGAATAAAAAGGGAAGAGTTCAATCAGCGTTTCTTGAGCTGAAAGAACTGATAAACAAATTCAAGCCTCAAGTTTCAAGAATTAGAAAGAAGTTCAAGGTGCACTGAAGACATGGTCAAAAAAGAAAGCCTCAGGAATGGATATGATACCAATTCACATATTTCCACTTACAGATGAAGTTATAGATGTGCTCACAAATCTATTCCAGAAAAAATTGGAAGACAGTGCCTGGCTGACTGACTAGAAGACATTCCCAAGAAATGTGATTCAATTTAATGGAAATGATAAAAAATAGCATTAATAATATTGTTAAGACTTTGTACCAGACATAATGCTGTGGACTCAAGAAGGGGACCAGAGAGCAAGATAGAAAGCTTAAAGGCAGTTTTATTAAGGGAGTTCCCAGGCCAGGTTCCTTGGTCTGGAAAGGAAGGCCAAGGAAATCATACTTAGAGTGTATTTGAGCAGTCTTTCAGGGAGAGGGAATGGTAGGGTGGGACATTCCATTGTGGTTTCTGATTCAGTCAGGTGGGTGAGGCTGTTGCATCCTTATGATTCCTTATCCCCTTGACCTAACAAATATCATATGCAAGCAAATTACTGCTATAAATCATTCTAAAATGTCTAGAACACTACACAAACAGAACACTTCCAGAAGTTCCACCTGTCTCTTTCTTCTTCCTGCTTGCCTTTCTTCCAAATGTAAATCTATTCAATCAAAGAAGGGCCTATAAATCCTTTAAAATATAAATCCCCTCAGAGTATGGAATGGGGCTTAATATTCCCCCAGGACCCATCCCTTGATTCTCCTGATCTCAACAAGCATGTCTCCAGGGTCAATGTTCCTCTTTTAGTATAAGGGAGCATTACATCCTTCCAAGATCTAGAATATTTAGTATTCATTTATATCATACATATTAACACTAAATCAACAAATACTTAAGTTATAAAAATAATGTCATAAAAATACTTAACATTAAATCAATAAATTCATCATTAACAAATTAATAATTTT